CAAACTAATTGTTCATTCTTAATTGCTGGCAAACTAAGTAATAAATTATATACAGACAAGAATGTTTAGAAATTAGTCCCATTACATAAATTTGATGGAATAAAATTGAAAGCGACCGAAGCCAAGGAACGATTTGACAAATAGGATGGCGAATACAGAGGATATTCTAAAAACGCAGGAGTTTCAGCGTCTTAATCGTTTAAATGTCAGCATCGAGAGTTTAAGAAGAAAAGGAAAGTGAAGAGAACTTTTTTATTTTTTGATTAAAATAATTATATAGTGTTTATAAAAATAAACAAAAGATGACTAAAAGGTTTTATAATAATCAATCATTTTATTTTTTTTATTCTAAAAAACTCTTAAAATTAAATACCGTAATCTTTGGACTTGCACCCGAACTCTGGATTAGTCTTATAGGCGACTCAAAGAGTCGAACCCGTGGAGATACCGGGAGTTCTGATTCGTCTCAAAGAAGTAATTAGGATCAGTTTCTAAAAAAAAAAACTCTTAAAATTAAATAATATTTACCTAAAATAAAAAAATTATCCTTTCTTTCATGATCTTCCAAAACTTTCCGCTATAAACATAACTTTACATTAGCAAGTAATGTAGATTAATGACATCGTCCCAATTCATGGACAACCTATCACCCAATCACTACCGTTAAAAACTCCAAAGCATATATATATGATTTCAATCTTCTATGTTAGACAGGAAATCACGAAGCTGTAGCCTCTTCGATTTTTCAATTTTTATTTTATATCCATAAAATTGAGTATTGCACCATTAATTGGAAATTGGAGGCTTGCTTTAACCAAATTAATGAGGACAATCTCTATCTCCCCCTGTGAATGAATTACTCATGAGTTAAACGTAGAAGTGTTTTAAGTAAAGACGCGAACGAAACAAGAGATCACATGGTTTAATCAAATTATGATAACTCAGTTATTATTATATATGAGCTAAGCATGTGAAGTGAGAGTATATATTCGATCCTTTCAAACCATTAATTGGAAATTGGAGGCTTGCTTTAACCAAATTAATGAGGACAATCTCTATCTCCCCCTGTGAATGAATTACTCATGAGTTAAACGTAGAAGTGTTTTAAGTAAAGACGCGAACGAAACAAGAGATCACATGGTTTAATCAAATTATGGTAACTCAGTTATTATTATATATGAGCTAAGCATGTGAAGTGAGAGTATATATTCGATCCTTTCAAGTATCATTTTTGGAAAGAATTTAAAACCTTAATCATAGATTCACTTCGAACAAGATTGTTTTTCTTAGAGAATACATGTGGTTTATCAAAAAAAAAAAAAAAAAAAAAAACCCACGTGATTTGTAGTAATAGAGCATTATTAGATCATGTGAAACCCTCGTTTAAATGCCCCCAAACACACCCTCCGGAAACATACGTAGACATTAGTCACCGGGCCGGGACCATTAGAAAGCTAGCTAGTAACATGAAGCTCACGTTAATTTGTCCGTTCTTCACTCTCTTATGAGGAGACACAGCAATGGCCCATGGGCCACATTTGCTTCCTTTCTTCAATATAGTAGGTCCCCCATGGCCCCACCGTGTTATTTTCCACTCTTTTCAGTTTTGCTCTTTCATCGGTCTATATGGTGCGTATATTTATGTGCATATATGGGTAAAATGGATCAACAATAAGTTAGACAAATCAACGAAATTGTACATATATACTGACTCAAAATAATATACGAAATTGGCAATATATAGAATAAGAAACACGAAATTTTAGACAAGTGTGCGCAAGACCTATTTTGAATAAGACAGAATGCAAATGCACACACAAGATCTAGAGTTTGGTTCTCAAACCCGTGGACTTGAATGAAAATCATGATAATTAGCCTGGGTCAAAATTCAACGTTGATGTTGTTATGGGTGATGTGTGTTTTAGTGAAAGCATTGAAGGTCTTCAATTTTAGTTTTTATTCGTAAAAAATTTTTGGTCTTACACATGCTTGCCAGCTGGGTGCTGTCATTGTAGTTGTGAATATTGAAGGTTCCTATTAGTTCTCATTCTTAAGGATAATACAGAAGGAAGGTAGACGAGTTTGAAGTTCGATTTAGTTATAAGCATCAAGTAAGAATTCTATTGAAATTTGTAGTTACATATAATTGCTATGTAAGAAATATCAATAATATACTCTTTGATATAATTTTTTAACTTTTTTTTATACTTTATTCTCTATTAATAGGATTGAAAATTAATTATGATATAAGCTTAAACTAAGAATTATTTCTGTTGAATTGTTGGATCTAGGAATAGATTTGATGAGTTGATGTGGTTATTGTTCTCTTTGAAGATTGATTATGCAATTAGTAATATTCATAGATTAAAAGAGAACTAACTTATTGCTAAAAAAAAAAGAACTAACTAACTAAAGAATAAATAGTTAATTAACTTACAGGATTTAACATATTAATTACATGATTATAATAGAATTGAGTTCCATTGAATATGAATAATTGTTTGAAATCAACATCTTAGCACTTTTTAATCTTGATATTTAGTTTGTGAAAATACAAAATCATTTTGTACTTTGCTCGGTTTAATCTTAATTCAAATTCCTTTAATTTCAGTTTCTTGTTTAATTCAATTAGAACTCCATTCAATCTATAATTAGCTTTGTTCAACTAGTGTTGATTTGGTTTGTTAAAACATGGTGCTCTCAATATTTAAGGATCATCCCACATTTATTACTTGAACCACATTTGTAAACTTTCTAAAGTCATCATCATATTTACGACGGAATTTAGTGTTTGCGACAGAATTTGTCCGTCGGAAATCAACTTTTTTTTAGTAGTATATACACCTCACACTTAAGTCCACTAACTCTCTCAATTATGATTAGGGAATCTTTCCCACCTACAAATATCATCTCTTCAGTTATTGAAGGGAACCTTAAATATATTGATTTATGAGATGACCCTATGTTAAAAAATTCACAAAGTTGTGGTGTCCTTGACATCTTTCTCTTGATTTTAGCCTTCGCCTAAGATACTCATAGTAACTCTCATCATAGAGCTTTGATTTTTATTACTATCTCTTTGAACACTATTGCAATAAGATACTTCATCCTATTAAGAAAAATAAATCTAATCTCATTACCGAACAATTCACTGTTGAAAACAACAAATTTTGTTTATTTTTTTTCTCAAAATCTGAAAACATAATATAAATAAAAATCAAATGATATTGTTCTATTTACGAGTAAAAACAAAACAACTAAAAATTAAAATTAAAATCAAATGCCTAATATTTTAATAAATAGTAAATGACCATGAAATGGAATCTTAGTTTGACATGGCACTCAAGTTTCTTTGGTGCTACAGATAGATGCACTGTAAATTCGGTGCATCTTCCACTCATATTGTGACACGTGTTTTACTTTTGTCAAATTAATAATAAATAATTTATTTTAAAATTAAGAGAAAAAATAATTTAATATAAAGTAAGACACATATTATAAAATAAGTAGAACTCGTTGCAGCCACGTGGGTCATGGCTAGGTAACTATCATACCAACAAGACAATAGCATTTAGTGAGTGTTGTAAGCCTATAAAACATCAAAGCTTCTCACATGGCCAACATTGTCCAAATCAAACAAGAGGCTCCACTTATACCGTCCTCTTTTCCGATGGGGACTAGTACGCGTATAGCCCAACTTGAAGCAAATGCATGCCGTCTTCCTCTTCAGCCCACCTTCAACTTCATCATGGATCTCCTACATCTTGCGATTTTTTATTTGTTCATTTCCTACCTTACTACTGATTAATTGGAGTCAACTGAAACGCAGACTTGGATGCATGATAATCACCATAAATTCTTATATAGTATTATGTTTTTCTTCACCTTTCAAAATCTTTACTGAAATAATTTGAAAGCTCGACACTTTTTGGTGAAGTTTATAAATTGAAGTCCAACTGAATAAAATTCTTATTACCTAATATCCGAGGGATTCTTTTTTTTTTTTACTTTTCACACCAACAAAATGAAAAATATTTGAGGCAAAGAACTTGCTTGTTAAAAGAGAAAAATGAAATGCCAAAGAAAAATAACTTGATTTTATTTTATTTTAAAAGTATATGTTCAACAAGTTGAAGTTAAATAGAGTTGTGCTAGTTTACCGAAAAAAAAAAAAAAAATAGAGTTGTGCTACATGTTAGCTTTTTTTTATTATTACAATATCATAAGTACAATGGCATGACCGCAATAGCAACGATTATTAGGCTAAAGACATCAATCAAAAGTTAAAAAAATTTACTTGTTTAGATCATAGTTTCAAACAACTTTCTTCATAAAATTATTAGAGCTACGTGATAATATTACTCATGCGAGCAAATAAGAAATTGATTGCATGCATACATATGGTTCAAAAAAGTCCCCAGATTGGAAACCTACATATTTCTTTGGGTCGATGGTTCCAATTGCGGCCGGGTAGAAAAAAGTTAGAACGATGTTGGAATTTAAATGAAAGGCTTATGGGATTTTAGGTTTAGTCAGAAAATATGGGCCAACCCAATTTTCTGCCTCAATTTCTACTGTCCAGCTGCTCATATGGGTTACTTAGTTGGGCTACAATATCATAGGTCCAAATCTAACTCTAGGACTTCGGTTCTAAAGTCCTTAACGGCAAGTTGAATTAAGGTAGATAAAAGAAGATACTTCACATCCAACGATAAGGACACTTCTGGAAGGAGATAGACAACACCAAAATCACTCAAACTATCGTTGCTTAATATTTGAGTTATTAACACTAGAGCACTGCCATTTGTGATGCTATGTTTGCAAGCCAATTCACGATCTCCAGTGCCCGTCACACTAGTATAATGACATTCATGCCATATCAACTATCCAAGTTGACAAAAGGAGACATATACTATGGTCATTTTTAATGTGTCCCTTTTTATTTCAATATTTTATGGTTTGATCAAACACATCTTTAAGCCAGCCAAGACCATTATTCATCTATGTTACATCTGAATTTGCCGATTCTTTTAGCAAGCAGGCACCCTAATGCTTATCCATAACTGGTAAAACAAAATTGCCTGATTGGTGACATTATACTCATGTTTAAAGCAATACAAAAAGTACCAAATGGTGAATAATCAATTAATCGAATTTCAAGATATCAATGGTTTGAACTTAGGTGGAAAATTTGGCAGGTTGGACTGAAAGACATCTTTGATGCAGCTTGCTCAAACTTCTTCATGGCGTCTTCATTTTGTTCTAAGCTTGTTTCAGTGAAAAATTGTTTCCACCAAGATGAACTTCGCATTTTAGCCTTCACAAATAAAGCAGAAATGCTTATTGTCAGCAATGATATGAAAATGGTCTACTAAAACAAGTTTAGAACAAAGTTAGCATTATTTATAAGAAAATCTATCGAAGCTGTCCCATTTCTTTGTTACCTAATGTTATATTCAGTTCCAGGCTAAAAGAAAAAAATTATCAAGAACCAAGATCATAGGGGTATTCCAGCTTGCTCAATTAGCATTTGTCATTAATAGTTAATTATGCATATGCTTTGTCGAAGGTTGGTTATCTTGCATAGTCCAACTGTTGGAAAATCCTCGTCATTGCAAAATGGTACCAAAAGATAATTAGCGAGTCAGCAGTTGTTAGAAAAATAATAAGTCGGTCCTTGACTGCCAAGCTCTAAGTTCATTTTTATCATCTTATGGTCACTGCACTATAGATCATTTGAAAAGGGAATTCAACATCTGCCTATAATATATTAACAACTTATTTTTTAACAAAAAAAAAAAAAGAGATGCTGAAGTATAAGTGTATAACTTTGATATATAAAATCCCATTCAGGAAGATGCAATGCCAAATCATATATCTAAACAAAATGGATCAGAAGAGATGGGATTTTAATCAATGAAAATATGAAATGCACTTTAGGTCATGTACAAGAAGTAATTTTGCTCCAATCAGTAGCAAAGAGTAATAGTAAGATATAAGCCAGCAGGAGCATGCCACTTACCGGGCGGCCAAATTTGGATAATTGTGTGACTTTAGCTCTCCGTTGACCTGGGTAACCTAAACAAGAGACAAGAAAGCACTAAAATTACAGAAAGGTCTATGTCCATTAGAAATGACATGATCAAGAAAAATTGTACTTAAGAGTCAGTTTGGTAACGGGTGAAAAATTTAGAGATGAATTTTTCATATAAAACAAATCCCTGAATTTTTAACCCCTATTTTTAAAGGTGCATCCAACTCAACATAAAAGAATGTAGCAAATCCGAAACACAGAAAAACGCAAATACTATTGAATGGAAGTCCAGCTAGTTGGAAAAAAGCCAGATCCATGTTTATCAGTGTGCGAGAGATGTCACGTTTATTTTAAAAAATAATGTACCTGTGAAAATAACAATACTGTCAGCAGATACCCTCGCTAGTTCAGGAAGAGTTTTGTTTAAATATTTTGGAGACAAGTAATCCAAAGCATCTGAAACAATAACATGAGAAAAAGACTTTGCCCTGTATGGTAGAGGGAATTTTATATCTGCAACACGTACAATGCCTTTCTGCACTAGAGCCTTGCAGTTCCTATCATCATCCTCTATGTCATATGGCTCCACGCCCCATGCTTCAGCTTCCCCTTCTCTTAATAATTTGGATACCACTGAACAACTTTCAGGGCCTACGTGCAAAACATTTTTCATGTTGCCACCATAAGCATCCTTCAAAACCGGAATTGCTCTTTGAACTTCAAATGTGCATGAAAAATCACCTACAAGATAAAACAATTTTAAATATCTAAAATAAGAGATGTTTATGCCTTTCCAAAACGACAAATGTAAAAGAACAACTTTGCAGTTTGACCTGTTTTGACCAGGATTGGTCAAAATTTTAACAGGTGAGGTATGAAAAACAGATGAGGTTTTTCATCCTTAAATTTCAGAGGCACATAGAAAACGTACAGGGTGAATTTTTTTTAAAGAATAAAAAAAAAATAGGGGGAAGGGGAAAGAGCAGAAAGACAAAGAAAATATGTCATCATAAAATTTGAAACTGGTCAAAATAAAAAGCATCTTATTGCAGAGTTTGTGGTCCTGAAGTTTTGCATAATGTAAGTTAATCGGCCATAATGCAAATTAAAAGTGAAAAAATTTTACAAACTTCTGATTACAGGATAGAGTTATTGTTCAAAATCTAATAAACCTCTAATCATCCTCCATTCTCATGCTAATGTACCTCTCTGCTTATAAACTTTACAGCCAACTTGTATAAGAGCAATACTACTTGCACAACAATTTAGTTGTAAAAGCAATCACTAGAATGGAATAAAAATGAAACATGTTCGGAAGTAACAGCTAAGAACAAACCAAAGGAGACTTTTACAGGATAACTAATTTATACAATCAGATAATTAGAAGACAATCATCTATACTGATAAAACCCAGAAACAGTGGGTAGTCTCCTTTGTAAAATGCTGGAGAAACAAAAAAAAAGAGTATTAAAATCATCAGAGTTTCTATAATCAAGCAGGATGAGGATCTGGTCAAACAATCATAGCCCTCAACTCATTGCGTCCATATCATGAAGATTTTCAAGTTCCCTTGGTGCATCTTGATTTAAAGACTGAAGAGTATGTTGCATAAAACTTGTTCACAATTTTATTAGTATTGCTTCCATGTTCCACCTAACTTTCAGATGCAAAGCAATGCTACAGCTTTTAGTCAAGCATAATGGCTACTCAAAACAAAAACAGCCATAAAAGAACCAACAATTTTACAAAAAGTAGTCCCAATACCATTCAGAAAACATTACGTACGTACCTTCAACCCTGCTAACCACATCCTTTCTTCCTCCCAATAGACCTGTACACATGAAGATGTAAGATTAACCAACCCATAAACTTACATGGAAAATCAAATATATTTAAACTAAGACTTACATGAGTGAAAAAAAACATTTTTTTATTATAAACAAAGAATGCTTACAATAGCCAGATTACAAAGCAATAAGACAAGATTAAGGATAATAAGTTACTTACATTAAGGGTTAGTTTAGTAAACCCTTGAATATGAGGTAAAAAAATTAAGTCATAGATTTTTACTATAATTTTATATAATCTCCTGATCCATTGATTTTTCACCCCTATTATTAGGATATACCAAACTTCAAACTTGCCATTAAAGACAAACAAACTGTATGATGAGAGTAGCCTATAAAAACTTGTTACCTGACCCACCACCACAGGCATAAATGATGAGAAGGAAAGCTCCCTGAGAGTTTCAACCAAAAATTAAAAAGGGTTAATCATCATAATTGTATTATTAAAATAGGATCAGCTCACTTCCCATTGCTTGATCCTATATAGACATATAACACCAAACTGAAAAAGAAAAAATAATAGATGCAGATATGAAATTACCAAAAGGACAAGGGTTACGGATAATAGAGGAGAAGATTTTGATTTCGAATTCAAGACTCCTGAAAGGGAAAAGCTTCCACCACCACGTCTCGTGGAACTTGCTTGTCTTCTTGTCATTACTTCTTCTAAGAAAGTGATGCCTGCAAAAAATAAAAACATAAAGATAGAAAAATACTATTTACATTAGAACTGACACGTAATAATCAAACGAAATTGAAGGAATGACAAATACATCGAACTTTTGCCTACTTATGTGTTTCCCAAGCAAACTTATATAAGCAACGAAACAGAAATCGCAAAACAAGTTTATGCACTGCACTGTAACTAACTCTGTAACCGCTCAACGCAGAAGGAGATATTCAAAAAATAAAAAGGCAGTGGGAAATAGAGGATGCAGAGGAATTGAATTTTGAAGCATGGAATAAGAAGAGGGAAAGAATTGGAAACAGAAATTGGAGAGTGAAGCACCTTAGGTGGTGTCACATTCATAACCAACCGCATTCAGAATGTAAGGAATTGTTAGATCTAACTAAGCCTAAGATGAGATGAGAGAGATCAGAAAAGCATTACACCGCCAACTTTAACAACAGATCTGATACGCTGTGTCCGGCCAAACGCACTACTCTCACACTAAAACGCGGCATTCAATAGAACATTGTAAATATATAAAACTCTTACTGAAAAATAAGATCTAAATTCTTTTTTAATTTTTTAAATTCGTACTTTAATCATTAAATTGTTGTGGCAATTTTTAAAAAACTAATATCTAGGGTACGGCATTCATCAACTCATTCAAAATGAGATGACCTAAACGAAAAACTATAACCGAATTAATCAAAAATTAAAAAATCAAAAATCGAAAAAAAAAAAAAATCTGTATATTTTAATAAGATTGGATCGTTTTCGATTTGGTTGGTAAGAATGGATATAATCCAAACCGATCTAACGAATTATATATTTATTATTTTTGAAAAATGATGGCGTGTAATCTTATTGTTTTGTAAACTTGTAATCTTTGATATTATTAATAGCAAATTATCTTGTTTTAGTTTTTATTGTCTATTGATAATACTAAGACTAGTTTGCATACCAAAAAAAAAAATATTAAGACTATTTTTAATTTGAAGACTTGAATTTTCCAATATTTTATAATTTTTAATGACTTTATTTTGATATAACTAGTGATTTGTATAGCTGAAATTTTAGATTTTTCGAAAAACCAAAAACTGATTTAATCCAAACCGAATAAAATTGGATTGGATTGAATTGGATTTAAAAAAATTAAAACCGAATGCATGGTTAAATTATCAAACCGAATGGATTGGATCAGATGATTTTTGCTTCAAAACTGATCTAATTTAAACCATGAACACCCTTACTAATATATGGGTAAAGATTTCTCCGGTCAATGGAGAGTGAACCTAAAATGACGTCGTTTTGAGACGGAAATCAAGGTGTTTTTATAATTATAATATATTGCAGGGTTATATTAGTCTTTATCATTATAATTTTTTAATCTTATAACTCTAAAACGACGTTATTTTGAACTCACTGGAGATAACTTTATCTCCGGTGACCGGAGAAATACTTTTTCCCTAATATATACTAAAAAAACTAATTTTATTAGTGTTATTATTTCATCAGATAAAATATTATTAATATCACATAAAGAATATAATGTTAAATATTGGTATTGTAATAATCAAATATTTAGAATGACATGGCATGACTAATAATAGTATGTTATAATGCACTGAATTAAATCCTCAATTACGTGTATTATATGCAATTAAATTTAGTAAATTTACATAAATTAAAGATGTTATTATGTTTTTAGAATGAATTGTAATAAAATGATGAAGATTTTATTTCATGCTTCAAAAATTTAAATGTAGTTATATTTTATTGGTCTGTAGTTATATTTAAATAGACTTCTAAATATTATTTATAAAAGTACTTGAAAACTCACTGCATGCACATTACTTTATGGAAACTTTCTGAAACAAACATTAAATTGAAGTGGATCTTAATTCAGATCAAGTTCGAATCTGAATTACAATCAAGGAATAAAAGCTTATGAGATCCTGTTGGACTTAATTCGTTCAACGAAGTAATCCCATTCATGTTGGGCCATTGTTTACTCGATTTGAGCAAACAGAGGGTCCAACGAAATTGAGGAGTGTGGACAAAACAACATATTATTCCCAGGTCTGTAAAAGTACGTGGATTTAGGGTTGACACTGACCCATGATATTCATGTGGTGAAGTTGTGGGCCTCAAGCTCATTCATTAGCTAGTATATGAGGCCGTGGGTTCTCATGGTCATGGATCTTCTACCTCAAATAGCCCAGTTCTTGTCCCATGGCCCTGGGACCAAAATCGCAGAATGCAATACAAAATTTTATTCTAGTACTAGTAGCACCCTGGTTTATGCGATACACTCATCTATAATAGCACTTAGGTACACACACTTATACCCATGTTAGCTACTTTAAACTTATACAATTTTAATTATATAAATTTATATTACTTTCTACAAAGATTACTATAATTTTACCTCGTATCTCGTATGTGTGATGAAGTGTTTCCTACCGTTATATATATATATATATATATATATATATATATATATATAACATTTTTCATATTTTGAGTTTCGGTTAGCACCAAATAACTAGGAATGAGCTAATGGTGAAGAATATCAGATGTAAATGAAAAATAAACAAGCATTTCAATAACAAAATTGCTAGTGTGTATTAAGTACAAACTATAATATAGAAAATAGTGAATGTTGACCGTTATCACACCTTTTTTTCAAATCCATAGGAAACAAAGTGATAACAAGATAAAAAGAGGATAAAAAGTAGGAAAAGATATATATCATTTTAAAGGATGTAAAGTTGTATCATTTTAAGTGATAGAGAGATAGATAAAGGAGGAGAGAGTGGACAAAAATATATAAAGGTATGGATCTCCCCTGAAAGAATATAAGTTGTGTTATTTAAAAAGACAAACATTTTTTCCTAAAAAGTAAGCGCATTGCCTTATGAATATTGCCGGTGTTACTAAATCACTAGCCAACAGACAAAAATTATGAACACGGTCTCTTAATTTATTTGAAATTGATTTGTAATTTGTCTCGCAAATCAAACGTAAAGAAGTAGAATTATATTGGTCTGTTTGATTTCTATTTCTACAAATAATTTATCAGTTTTTAGAAGAAAAAAACTTGTTTGAAAAAGATTGTTTTGTAAGATGATTCCCAAAACAAAAATTATTCTTTAGTTTTTAAAACTAAAAAAAAGGAGAAAGTTTCGGATGTTTTCAAAAATAATTTTATTATTTTATTATTTTACAGTGATAATTTTATAATTACGAGGATTTATTAATGATATTTTTGTAAATAAATTTAAATTCTTTTCAATTTTAAATTATTTTATAGTGACCATAAATCTTAATTCTTGCTATTCAAAATTTTATTATAGTAAGTCATTAGAGTTAGGCTGCGCATGACAATCATTCTGATTCTTGGCACTGTTTCTGAAAAGAAATGATTCTTTTCTATTTCTGTGCTTTGGAACAATTCTGAGAATCAGAATTATGTTTGTTAACATATTTTATTTTTATTCCGAGAATTAGAATTACGTTTGATAACATATTTTATTTTTATTCTGAGAATCAGAATTACGTTTGATAACACAATAAAAATCTATTTCTTTACTTTTGTTTATAGATTTCATCAACTGTGTAAAATAGCAAATGACAATAGATTGTAACCAAAATGCCAAATTTTATATTTAAAAAAATTATCTAAAAATTTATAATATTTTATTATATAGTTTTTTTAAAAAAAATGTGTTATCATCAAGAAATTTATAAATCAGGCTTCCCGCAACTACTTTCTCCAAAATGCTTCCACAGTTCCACTGGTTGAACAACACTGGAAATTTTGTGCTGAAAAGCTAAATTGAAAATTGATGCGTTATCTAAATACCAAGTTGTAAACTGGTTTAAACTCCTCCTTTTTAAGCCCCATTCGTAGCTTGAAATCATTTAGTAGAATTAGATTTTAAGAAATTTTACTTTTCTTACATGTTTTTTGAAAATGCATGAATTTTTTAAGACTGTATAAAAATTTGCTTAACCAGAAAACTCCAATTTTTGTTTTTGTTTTATGATGATAATGGACTGGAGTTGTGACTGCTGCTAATGATTCTACAATTGAATATGTGCAGCCATAATTTTCCATTAATGTTGCTAGTATACAATTATGATTTCAGAGTGGGGACAAATGCAAACCAGTTGGTAGCTGTGGCATTCTACAGACTACAAAGGGAGCTTGCTAAAGATGGTAGAGAACCAAACAAGGTAGCTGTGGCATTCTCGTGAAGGAATAGATAAAGACGTCGAAGGAGACGAAGAACTTCAGCCATGAAAACTGATTCTCGTGAAAACTGAAGGGAGGGGTGATATGGTTGAAGGCCTGTCATAGTTGGTGTTCGTGGGTGAGTGCGTACGAAGAAGTGAGAGAGGGAGGGAAAAGGAATAGAGAAAACTGATTCTGTTTCTGTGCCCTGGATTAGAGAAGCAGAAATTTTTTGATTCTTTTTTTTATTCCCCAGCACAAAAAATAAACCGGTTCATTCCGGGAACAAAAAAATAAACCGGTTTTACCAAACGAGTTTCTCATCCATTTTTATTCCTGAAAATAGAAATTAAAAAAAAAAACTCATTCCGGGAAGGTTGTCATGCACACCCTTAACCTAGTGGTGAGGGGTGAGAGTAGATATGTTAGGTGTTGTGTATTCTAGTGTTTTCTCATATATCCAAACAAAAAATTATTATATTAATTTTACAAGAGTTATTATAATTATACAGGAGTTATTATACCAAACTAACTTTGTATTTTTCAAAACTAACCACAAAATTGAGCAAAAGTGAAAATAAATATGCTGAATGGAGTGTGAGGAGAGTACGACAATAAATGGAGATAGACATAGAGCTTGTGAGATAATTTCAACAAAAAATTAGAAAAATTGCCCAAATCCTAACACATGAGAATGATTCATTAATTATTGTTTTGCCATTAATAAAACCATGTTGTTCTCTACATTTTTTATTCCATAGAGAATAGAAAGTTGAAAACTATTGCATTTTTTTATATGATCTCTAATCTCTATTTTAAAAACAAAAATTTAGAATTATTTTCATACAACAATCATTATCAAACAATTTTTTTATGCTTTTAAAAATATAAAATTATCTTATGAAACAGAAATCAAAGTGGCCCAAATATATGGTTTTTTTGGTTAGTGTATTCAAAATATAATAATTTTGTTTAAGTTTTGTTCTGGACTGGCCGCTAGGGGTGGTAAACAAACCTGGGGCCTTTGGCTCGGCTCGTGAAGGCCTGAACTTATATGTTTGAAGTTGGTTATTGGAACCAGGCTTGGACTTTCGTTTAATAAAAAGGCCTGAGGTTCCAATTCAAAAGCTCGGCCTTGGAGCCTCTCAGGCCGACTTAGCATATTAATTTTTATTTTTATTTTATATTTTTTATACTACTTGTAGTTGTAAT